GGCCGGGCCCGCTGAGATGCGCTGTGGTCCCGCCTGCATCCTCCGCGGCCGGAGGATCCCGCTACCGGCGTCCTCCGAGGCTTTGCTCCCCATCTCCCTGGTCTGCTGGAAACCAGCAGACCAGGGGGACGCGGAGCAAACCCCGTTCGTAACTGCGGATCTGACGCAAGTCGGATCCGCGTAACTCGGGGACTGCCTGTATCCTAAGTGTCCTTCTCTCTTATTGACTGCAAGGAAGGCTGAGGGCAGAAAGAACTAAAACCAAAGTAACCAACCAAATGACCCCTTTTCAGAGCAGCAAAGAAATTCATATGGAAGAAGGGCTTATTCTACAGAAAATGGGTACATGCCAGGACAGCTGAACATTAAAAGTATGGGAACTCATTAGAAATACTACGCCAAGACACTGAGCTAAATCCATAGTACTCATTTTCAGCATACCTGCAGATACTGAAAACTATACAGAGGCAGCTCCACAGGTCCCCCTGCAGATAGGCCCAGCCTGGCCCTCCTGCCACAAGTTACACTCTAGCTCCTCAGGAACAGGGCCATCAGCCCTTACTCTCTCAGGTAGGAGGCTTTGGTGTGGGTTCTGCAGTATAAAATGTATTTAAGCTTTATACGGCAGAGCCTACAACATGTAACCATTAAGATTTTTAGTGGTTACACAGTTACCTTTTTAAAGGAATTTTTACATCCCTGGATAAGGGCTGTTCAGCAAAGACCCCCACAGAGCCATGGGCTCATCTTCCTCCTTACAGCCCTTTCTGGAGGTTTCTGCTCCACTGCACAAGAATCCTGCTCCTGTCCTTCAGGTGTCTCGGGCACTTCAGCCTTACAACAAGCGCCTTACAGCCCTTCAGTCAGCACTGCCCCAGCTGCAACCCCAACACCAACCCCTAACATCCCATAACTATCAAAATAAGACTTGGCAAAAAAAATTAAGAATCAGGAATACAAAAAAGAAAAAAATTCTGCCAAGACTTGTTTATAGCAGAACCAATAAGAGATAAGGTAGCTAACTGCACTGAAGTCTCACATTAGGCTGTTCAACAAAAAAAAAAGTCTCTATGCCTTTTAAATTATTGTTTTCCCCTTCTGTTGATCAGTGTTGGCTTCTGAAGTTAAAATGCAATTGTGTCACACTTCTACACTGTCTGACACTGAGAGAAAACAAGTTTTAACTCAAAAGTAGCAATGAAGCGGTTAACCCTTCTACCTTGTGACTCATTCCGGATCCTGGTGGCCCAACACCAAATCATGCCACCTGCTTTCAACTCTAGGTCAGTTCAGGTCTTCTGTTGATCAGTGTTGGCTTCTGAAGTTAAAATGCAATTGTGTCACACTTCTACACTGTCTGACACTGAGAGAAAACAAGTTTTAACTCAAAAGTAGCAATGAAGCGGTTAACCCTTCTACCTTGTGACTCATTCCGGATCCTGGTGGCCCAACACCAAATCATGCCACCTGCTTTCAACTCTAGGTCAGTTCAGGTGAGCGAGTGACTCTTCCAGCGCCACCAACTCGTGCCGGTCTGTCACAACAAAACAACGAGGCTCGGAAGCAGCCCGGCAGCAGGAAAGGA